CTACTTCAGTCTCCAATAAGCTTCCTCACCACCTTTCCAGCTTCTAGCAAAAGCTGTCTCTCGTCAAAACCAATGTCATCTATTTTAGAATTTATTTTGGCAGTACCTCCTCACTGACAATGCCAGTTTTTATTTGGGTGACCTATTGCTTCATAACAGACCACTCCAAAACTACGTGTCTTAAAAGGACAACCATTTATTTCTCATAATCCTGCAACATGAGCTTCACTTAGAAGGGTAGATCCTCCTCCAGTCTCTCTTCCAGTCAACATGTGGTAGCACTCACCTGTGACTCATAAAGGGCTAGAAAGGCCAAGATGGCTCTACTCATACATCGGGCAGTTAACTGGGGCTTCTTGGACAGGATGCTTCACTTGTCCTCCAATGTCCCCTCTAGCAGGACAGCCTGAGTTTCTTGCATGTTCTCAGTTCACAAGCACCTTCCAAGTTTCTACCTGAGTAACATTTGTAGATGCTCAATTGGCTAAAGCAAGACACATGGCCTGAGTCAATGTGGGAAGAAACTCTACAAATCAATGAGGGAGGTATGATTCATTGAGGAGCCATTACTGTAAATATCTACACATTTCCCATGCTAAGTGAATGGGCCATTCTCTCAGGTGACACTCTGTGCTTCCTGATGGTCATTTTAAAAACTACAGAATGAAAGATGGTTTATATTATAAACAAAAGAAAGCTGGCAAAAAACTAAAAGAAAAACAGTTTTTGAAGTTTATTTATTTAAGAGGGAGCAGAGAAGAAGCAGAGAGAGAGGGAGAGAGAGAGAATCACAAGCAGGCCTCACTGCCAGTGCAGAACCCAACACAGGGCTCAAACTCACAAACTATGAGATCATGACCAGAGACAAAATCCACAGTCAGCCATTTAATCAAATGAGACACCCATGTGCCCCAAAAGATAAACATTTTTAAGCTACAGAATACACAACACACATTTAAAAATTAAATATAAAGTAGCAAGATAATATAAAACTAAAAGTAGGAAGAAGAAATAAAAAGTTTATAAACTAGTAAGAAAAATGAAAAATATTATAAATTTATATAACCATTAACACAAGGGATTAGAAGCAATAAAATAAGCTAAAACCGAGCATAAATATATGAGGGGAAATTTTTTTATTTCAAATTAATTTAGAAATTTATTACCTTTCATTGGTGATGAGTCTCTTTTTTTAATGTTAATTTTTTGAAAGAGAGAGAGAGCATGAGCATGAGAGAGGGAGGGGCAGTGAGAGACAGAGACAGAGAATCTAAAGCAGGCTCCAGGGAGGCTTGAACTCATGAGCCATGAGATCATGACCTGAGCCCAAGTTGGACACTTAACTGGCTGAGCCACCCAGGCGCTCTGGTGATGGATTCTTTTTATGAAAAGAAAATTTTGCTATTCTCAGAGGAAATAGCTTTCGAACAGGAAACTTCTCACCATTTTTTTTTTCAAGTTTTTATTTAAAATCTAGTTAGCTGGGGGGCTTGGATGGCTCAATTAAGCCTTCAATTCTTGATTTCAACTCAGGTCATGATCCCATGGTTGTGAAATTGAGCCTTGCATCAGGCTCTATGCTGACATCATGAGATTCTCTTGGGATTCTCTCTCTCCCTCGCTCTCTGCCCCTCCCCTCTCCTGTCAAAAATAAATAAGCTTTTAAAAATAATAATTAATTAATTAATTATACTTAGTTAACATATGGTAAAATTGGTTTTGGGTGTAGAATTTAGTGATTAATCACATATATACAACATCCAGTGCTCATCACAAGTGCCCTTCTTAATACCCATCATCATGTAGCCCATTCCCCACTCTCTTTCCCTCCAGCAACCCTCAGTTTGTTCTCTATAGTTAACAGTCTCTTAGGTGTTGCTTCCCTCTCTCTTTTTTTTCCCCTTCCCCTATGTTCATCTGCTTTGTCTCTTAAATTCCATATATGAGTGAAATCAGATGGCATTTGTCTTTCTCTGACTGACTTATTTCATTCAGCATACTACACACTAGCTCTATGTTATTGCAAATGTCAAGATTCCATTCTTTTTTATGGCTATGTAATATATATATATATATATCACAATTATTTTTAGTCATTCATCAGTCATTGGACATTTGGACTATTTCCATAATTTGGCTACTGCCAATAGTGCTGCTAATAACAAAGGGGTGCATGTACTCCTTTGAATCAGTATTTTTGTATCCTTTGGGTAAATACATCAAAGTACAATTGCTGGACTATAGGGTAGTTCTATTATTAACTTTTTGCGGAAACTCCATACCACTCTCTAGAGTGGCTACATCAGTTTGCATTCCCACCAACAGTGTAAGATGGCTCCCCTTTCTCCACATCCTTGCCAATATTTGCTGTTTCCTGTGTTGTTAATTTAAGCCATTCTGACAGGTGTGCAATGGTATCTCATCATGGTTTTGATTCATATTTCCCTGATGAGGAGTGATGTTGAGCATATGATGAATAACTTAATAGACAAATGGGTGGATAATGAAAAATATATCTTTAAAAATGTTAAAAGTTAGAATTCAAAAGCTTGGCAAACCATAACAATCAGGATTTTTGAAGCAAAAGCAGTTCCCATGTCTGGCAAACACCCCAATTTGCCTTACAGAAGAGCTGGGGCTCTCTATAAGAAAAGGTTTCTCAAATGTATTTTTTATTAATGCATAATTGAGATGTAATATTATATTAGTTTCAGATATAAAGCATAGTGATTCAACACTTGTGTACATTCCAAAATGATTACCATAGTAAGCCTAGTTACCACCCATCACCATACATAGTTCTGAATTTTTTTTTCAAACTTGTGTATTTACGGAGCTTATCACAATGCAGATTCAAAGGTCCTAGTAATGATTCCATTTTCATAGATATCTGAAATGGAGCTCAAGAATCTTTATGAATAAGCCTAAAGATGGTATTAATAAAGGTCCAAAGATGACACTGTCAAAGGGCTTTCTCAGACCATGCACCTCCTTCTCCTTTGCATCACACTTACTGTTCAAAGCCCTTAAGATAAGCCCACGTTTAAAATTTCAGGCTCAAAAGCTAACATCCTCCATTCCCTTAGCTATAGCTCAATTTGAGCAGCTTCACCCTTTCAAGCCTCCCTCCAGCAATAAAGCAGCATTTTCAAATTACAGGTCATGACCAATGAGTGAGTCATAGAATCAATTTAATGGGATGCGACCAGAATAGAAAATATCAGAGGGCAGTGCACATAATGATGGTAATTACAGTTTTAGTATTGTTACATGAAACTTTTGTTTCACTCGTATGTATGTGTGTACAATGAAAAACTATATCACTTAATGAGTCATAATCAAGAAGGTTTGAAAACCTCTGTCATAAAGAATATAATGGATTCATCAAGAAGCTAAAAAGTTTTCAGGTGAAGAGTGCAGAAACACCCTCAAAGTCAAAGAAAAAAATTCTAATGATGATAATTTCATTTCATCATATTTCTGTAGGGTTTAATTATTCAGGGACTTCAAAGAACAAATTTAATATGCATTTATTCAGCATCCCTCTGAATGGGTAGGTAAGAGGAATATGGTCCTTTTCTTTTAGAAGCTTACAAAGTACATGTTAGTATTAACCCATAAAATAACTAGAAGACTAGAGGAGAATACAAAACATTTATAATCATGAGTTAAATTTACAGTGCCGTAGGATTTCAAATAAGTGAATGATGGAATTAGGGGAAGTTGTGTGAAGAAGGTAGGACTCGCCTTGAACATAAGATAAATAAAAGCAGAGAGGAAAAGTTACAGTAATAAGCCTATAGATAAATGAAGATAGCTGCCTATAAAAAAACATCTCAAACATTCAGTGTATAACACAATACTGAATAGATATACTACACCCAGTCATTCAGAAACCCAGGTTCTTTCTATCTAATAGATCTACCATCTCCTGTGGCTTCGGAGTCCTCAATTCCTCTGCATCCAGCCAGCAGACACAAGAGAGAGCATGGATTACAAAGAAGACTTTCACAGACAAAGCCTGGAAATGGCAACTCACTTTTTAATCCTCTTTCCACTGGCCAGAATGCAGCCCCACTGACTACTAGGAAGCAAATAATACAGCCTAAGACCAAAATGGAGTGCTTCTATTCATTTCTAGTCCTTTCTCTTTCAACGAAAATATCCCAAACATAAAACAATTAACAAATATAAAAGGACTCTGAAAGGTGGAAAGAAGATGGACTAGAGGCTAGGGACATGAGAACTTGAGGAATAACATGGCAGCAAGTTCCCAGGTTGTCTTTTTACTTCTTCTATATCCTAGATGAGACACTGGAGAAGCCTGCAACCAAGAACCACCAACAAGCAGAACAAAGACCTTAAAGAAAAGCCCACTTCTTAGCCAAAGGGCCAGGAAAAGGCTGGCCAAGTGGAACAGAAAACACTTTTTATAATACCCGTCCTAATCTAGTCAAACCCCAAAGGAAACTGTGCCCTGACACCAAGGTGTTAGTGGGCAACAGGGAAAATGGTGTTCCAGCCACACCCAGTGTCAGTGAGACTGGATGCATTCCCTTCACCTTCCTCTCCTACAAAGAGATAGAATGAGAATGCAGGGCATGTTAGTCAGCATACTATCACCCACCCCACGGGTAGTTTGGCAATTTTTTTTAAATTAAACATAAATGTACCATACAACTTAGCAATTCCATCCCTAGGTACCTGCTTAAGCAGAATGAAAACCTATCTACACAGACATCTGTGCATGAATGTTCACAGCAGTATTATTCATGATAACGAAAATGTGGAAAGAGCCCGAATCCCCCCACCCCAGGGCCGGCTCCCAGAGCACACCCCGCGCCCTCCCTGTGACCGTGGCTTTTAAACTGCCCTTCCTCGGCTGGGTGAGGGGGCGTCCCCTCTTTCATCTGCTCCCCCCGCCACTACCCACACGTCCCACAGGCCTCAAGGGGACGGGCCTCTGGGCACTGGGTACGGCGCTCCCCCGGCTCACGCACACAAGGTGCGAGCGACTGGCGAGGCCGCGGAGGCTCCGCGGTTCGCCGCCGCGAGCGGGGTACAAGCTTCAGGAGGACGAAGGATATCATCTTTCTTGTTCATTCCTGTGTCTTCAGCATCTAATACAGTGCCAGGCATATAGGCTACCTCAAGAAACAAGCCATAGTACACAAGGTGGAGAGTCCCAAATATCACTACGAATAGGAAAATAAAATAACCAAGGTCCCAACAAGAGAGACCAAGAGATACCATTCAAAAAACACTCTCTGAAAGGATAGGCCCAGGACAGTCAAAGAGTCTTCTTGGATACAGCAGCGCTCATAGATACAGAGGGAATAACAGGTCTTTAAAACCAACAAGAGCCAGAAAGCTAACTAAAATGATGAAATGAAAGACCTCTCCTCCAAAGAAACTCCAAGAAGAAATGACAGCTAATGAACTGCTCAAAACAGATATCAGCAGCATCACTGAACAAGATTTTA